AGAAAGGAAAACAATGGAACATCTAATTTTTGTGTTAATTTTACTGGTGCTCATCTCATTCCACTGAAGGTATAGTTAGTTTATACTGCTTTTTATTTTGCTTGTCTGTAGCTATTATATGCTATTTTCTGTTTATTGTTGTAAACCATCCAGAGTAGTAGTTTTTGCTATGTGAGCAGTATAAAAATCTAACAAACAAACAAATTGTATGTATGTATTTGCCCTAGGGACATGGTGGTTCTGCAGGTTAAACCACAGAAGCCTCTGTGCTGCAAGGTCAGAAGACCTGCAGACATAAGATCGAATCCAGATGATGGAGTGAGTGCCCATCACTTGTCCCAGCTCCTGCCAACCTAGCGGTTTGAAAGCATGTAAAATGTGAGTAGATAAATAGGTACCACCTCGGTGGGAAGGTAATGGCATTCCGTATCTAATCGCACTGGCCACGTGACCATGGAAACTATCTTCGGACAAAAGCTGGCTCTATGGCTTGGACATGGGGATGAGCATCAGGCCCTAGAGTTGGACACGATTGGACTAAATGTCAAGGGGAACCTTTATTTACCCTACATATAGATAATATGTCTTTGCCACAGACCGATATATATTAGACATAACTGTTCTAAAATAAATTGATATAAATGATTTGATTGCTCTCAAAATTCAGAAGTTTTTCTGTCTCCTTGTCATAGGTTGTCAAGTCTCTTCCAAATTATGGCAATTCTAATAGAGTTATGACATGGAACCAAACAAAAAACAAAATAGGAGCGGCTCTTTCAAGACTAACAACTAGATTTTAACCTGAGGTTTTGTGGATCAAGCCCACTTCCTCAAACATGAGATATCTGAAATGTTCACGTAGCAGTTTACTACTGCCTTCCTCCAGGGAGTTTCCACTGTGAAGGGAGGATTTGAATCCAGGTCTCCTCTTCATCTGACATGTTCTCCACTATACCATGCTCACTCTTGCTTTATCAGCCTCCTCCCTTCCCCTAAATGCCAGTAGGCATCCCTAAAGGTGTCACTCACCTATTAAACTGGAGAGAAGACTACTGTATATTCAGAAACAAGGTTGGGAGGAGTCAGCTGGAATCTCAGGGGCTCAGCTATGCCTCTTTGGCTCTCCAGGTGGGATGACAAATCTCAGCCCTGGAGGAGGAGAAGGTTTGATTTCTGTCTGTCTGTGAGGCGGCTTCAAAGTCTAAGCACTCACCTCCAGCCATTCCCAGCTGGCTCTGTCACTCACTGTCTCAGCATGAAGGCTTTTTTGTACAGATGTGCTTGTGCAACTTCAGTGGATTGCCAGAGCCAGGAGAAAGGGAAGCCGTGGCACGTGCACACCAGCGTCTGCCACCGGGAGCCAGGCAAGGGCGGAAGGGAGCATTTTGTGCCTGCTTCCAGAACCAGCTGGCCCGCCAGCAGTTTTTCTGGCATCAAAGGTTCTCCCCCTGGTGCCATCTCCAGAGCCTAATCCTGGCCTCGTTGGGATGGCACTGGCCCAGCAACGCGCTCCAAAGAGCCATAGATCGCGATACAAAGAGACCGGCCACACAAGAGGCCAGGGAGCTTCAGTTGAACAACCAGCTAATAAGCCTCATGGCAGGACGGCTCCCTCCCACCTGAGGGAGCGGGCGGGCCGGCGGGCCGGCGGGCGGGGGGGGAGAGAGAGAAGTAACTCCAGCCGCGAGCGACAGCAGGAGGCTATCGGTCTTGCTTAGGTGTTCCGGAATAGCCTAACCTTTCCAGTTGCAGCTGGTGACCGAGGCCCTTGCCCGGGTTCACGGGATTCGGTCTCCCCCTTCTGACGCCAGAGAGTCTGGGGTGTTAAGGGGAGAGGAGGGAGGGCGGCAAGGGGGGCGTGGCCAAAGCCCAAAAGGGAGGGGCTAGCGGCTAAGACTGAAAGCCGAGAAGTGGGTGGTTTTGCGTCTGCGCCCGGCTGTCTTTGGAGCCTTCCAAGACGTTTTCATGAATGAACGAAGCGCGCCTTATTCTGAATGGAGCCGAGGGACTCAGTTGCCCATTGAGCTTTAGCGAGGAAGCCCTCCGCGCTATCAGCAGCCGCAGAAAAGGCTCGCTAGTCTTTGGCAAGATCTGTTCTCTTCCCCTCACCACCACCCCCAGCCCCGGCCGTCCCTTTCCAGAAGGCACGGACGCGCGTCTTTACGCAACCCGCGGCAGCTGCCCAGCCTTTCGCCTCGGTTCAAAGTCTGCGGCGAAAGCTGCGAAAGGCGGGAAACGGCTGTAGATACACACAGACATTTGTGTGCCTGCGGTGCCCCGAGTAACCATGTGTGCGGGGCGAGGGCTTTATGGCTTTTTGAAGAGGGCTGTGGAAAGGACGAAGCTGCGTGTTTGGCCTGCTTTTCGTCTTCTCACGTGCATGCTAACGATCGCTTTAATAGCTGGGCTTTTTGACCACCTAGTGTCTGAAGATGGCCTCCGTCAGCCAATTCGGAATAATAGATGGTTTCCTCTCTGAAGGCAGCCCGGCGAAGAAACTGGTACAAGGCGTGCAGCCCCGGTTGCTGAAGAGGGAGGGGGTGACCGGGCACTTGGAGGCTGCTCGGCGCCCACCCGCGTCGATCTGGCGGGGAGAGAGACAGACAGAGGAAGGCGAACAGGAAAGGGCGAGATCAACCTTGTTCCTCCCGAGATGAAACACTTCCTTTCTCCTTTTTCACCTGGGGAAAGATGGGGAAGGCTCTGTAAAGGCCTGAGATCCCGAAACCACAAGGTTTCTCTTGCAAGCAAACTGCTAGCAAGCGGTGTGCAGTTACCTTGTTGTTTTTCTCTGTAGGTACAAATCAGCTGCTTACACAATGACCAGCGGTTCCTGATGTGAGCTTTGGGACAGAGAGTTATTTTAGTAAATACTCTCTCTGTGTTATTCCTTAAAACATAAACATTTGATTATTATGTACTTTCTATCAATGCAGCTAAACAAACCAACATTGTGTTGATCTACTGTTCTAGCCCGCCCGTTTCTCACTTGTAAATTTGTACAGAAACCTGCACTTGGCCAGATAGTCAAACACATGCACACACATACACATACATATACATTTACAAACATATACTTTAAAAAAACCTGTTTCCAAATATATATATATGGAAACAGATTTTTTAAAAGTTTGCAAATAAAGAAGACAGTTGTTCCAATTTGTTTCATGGGAATAAGCAGAAAAGTTCCTCCTGAGCCACGGCTACATGTTCAAATACTGCAGGGTTTGCTACAATTATAAATCATATTAATTAGTTTTTCTTTCTTGCTTGCTTTCTTAATCACATCATGCAATGACCAATCTGAATCCGTCCAGCCCTCATTTTTGCTTCTGAGGGCTTCTGCTTTTTTCTAGCCAAATGGCCATTTCTTGTGTGATCAGTTGTTACCTTCTGCAAAATGACAGGTGCGGGGCATGTCTGTAGGTGATGTTTTAGTGATGTAGATAGCAGAGACATGATGTTTAGGGACTACAGAAACATCCTCCACAGCAATCTCTTCCCCGAGTGTCTGTGAATTTTTATTTTTTAAGAAATGAATCTAGCAATGAGTAATTGCATTGATTATTTAACATACTAGTTTAGCGCTAGCTCGTGGGGAGAGGAAAGATAAAAATTGCTACAGAATAGAAACAACCCCGACAAAATTCAGAAGACTACACATGTTTCTGTGGTACATGTGTTTCTGTGTATGTTATTAAAAACTTAGGAAAACTGCCTCCCTTTCCCTAACCCTTTGCAAAAAACGAAGTAGCTTGACAAAGAATCAAAGGGTTGGCAGAGGCAGGAATAGAAGAAAGGAGGAAGGAGGGCTGTGGGTTGAAACATAAATTGCACTGTGTCCCTGAGTGGACACTTGATCTGAAATAATCTGCAGCCCTTGTGTGATCACTACAGTAATTGCGAACTGAAACAGAAGAGAGGCTGCGAATCAAACTGCCACAATCCAGAGTGATTCAGTCAGCCAGTGTAGTCGCAGCTTAAGATAGTGTGCTTTTAAAGTGTACAATGGACCCTCTACTTACGGAATTAATCCGTATTGGAATGGTGGCTGCAGGTCAAAAAGTCTGTAGGTCGAGGCTCCATTGACCTACAATGCATTGAAAACTGATTAATCCGTAACCGTCCGTTTTTGTTCTGTTTTTGCTCTATTTTGGTTTTTTTCTGGTCTGTATGTCGATTCTCCGGCTGCAAGTCGAACCTAAATTTTGCGGCCAGAGAAGTCTGTAACTCGAAAAGTCTGTAAGTCGAGGGTCCACTGTATCATGGTTAGGGTGCTGGACTGAGACTCGGGGAATCTCCTTGGGTGATGTCAGGTCAACTGTCATTCCCCCTCAGCTTGACCTGGTTCACAAGGTTGGTGAGGATGAAGTGAAGGGGAGGAGATCGAGGTCTTTCAAGCCATTGGAGGAGAAGTGGGAATTACGTATAACAAATAAATATTAAGGGGTAGAAGAGATGACCTTTGACACATGCCTTATTTAACTGACAGCCTTTCCTTGAATCTCCTGTCTTCAAAAACTGGAAGAACAGAATGCATATCCTAACCTGCTGTCAAAGATATATAAAATAAGATTAGGCATTCCCATCATCTTTCCTCCTACATATTTTGCAGTGTAACTGGAAAGTCAATTACTACGAACATCTAACTTATCCAATGTATGCTGGGTGTATCACCTTGAACCTAGCTGGTTTCAGAAGCTGAATAGGGTTGGGCTGGTTAGTGTTATTTAAATTGGAACACTATCAGGGAGGCTATTTTCACAAGTGTTTGGATTGGAGGCCACAAGAGAATACTGAAGATCTCCAGGTAGAGCAAGAAATTCTGGCAACTCCAAAGGATGTGTGGTTGGATTCAGTGTGGAGCAGCTGCCTATGTTCCTAATCAGGATAGCCCTACTCTGTTTGCATCTTATGAAGAAAGCAACAAGAGAGAGCTTTTCTTGCTCTTATATGAAAATGGCACAAAGCTGTTTGGAGGTGTATGTCCTTGGAACAGAAATGAGGTAGCTGATGGTAGCTTACATGTTTTGTTCTTATACATCAACCAACATCCTACTGGTGTTTTTGTAAGGTTTGAGTAACTTGCTACAGCTAATTGTAGAGGTGTCAGGTGCTCTTCTGTTGCATGTCTCGTTATCTGCCCAGTTGTACAACCAAGATGTGTTCCAGCACCTCATCAATTAGCTGCAGCAAATTACACAAATCTTATGCAAACACTAATAGGTTTTGATCATTTTTTAGTATTTGTTTATAATAAGCTTGCTTTGTTTTGAGATTTTTTTGAAACTCAGAGTCCAATTTTTGGAACTAAATCACATTCATAATTTCCCTTCCCCCAGTTTAGGGTGTGCAATAAGTAGCCATGTTGTTGTTTATGTGTTGGGGCTTTCTGCACAGTTCGCTGGGGCAGGAACAATCAGAAGTACTCCATTTAGAGCAGCAGTTCCCAAATTTAGGTCCACGGATGTTCTTGGACTAAAACTCCCAGGTCCCTGCATCACTAGCTGTGTTGGCCAGGATTTCTGGGAGCTATAGTCTGAAAACATCTGGGGACCCAAATTTGGGAAACACAGATCGAGAGAGAGGTCAGAGTATAGCTGTAAAGTTTTAGTTTCTCCTGTCCTGTGATGCCACAACAGATGTGTTGCCTGTGCTATTCAGGCCACTTTGTTCTGCAATTTAATGGTCCACAGTCTAATCAACAAGCTTCATTTTTTTTTTGGCACAGACAGAAAATCCTATAAGATGGCTGTTATAGGATAATACAAAACAGTCATCCATTGATACTGAAGATGTAAACAGTAGAAAATAAAAGACTAGCATTGTATTTTTACCAAAATGCTGTAGAGACCCAACATCCAGAATAAAGTTGGAATTTAGTTTTAGTTGCACTTTTTTTTAAATGTAGCAGCCAGAAGTTATAGTCCACAACCCATTTCCTCTAAAGGAGCTCTAATCACATCTGTGAGACTTCAAAGGGCTTATGGATTGCAGCCCTAAATGGATTCTGGAAAGTGTTCTGCAAACCAATTATGACAGAATGAAACTAATTTAATCCCACTGATTTTAATGGCAGCTATCCAGTCCACCACTAGTTAAAACAGAGGACTGAAATCTAAACTACGGATGGTCAGCATTTGAACAGCTGGACTTCTCTGTCTTTAATAGCTGCAGCACTGTGACACGACAAGTTGTATTTGCTTGAAATTTCTTCTTCTTCTGTACCACTGGAAAAGATAGTGGATGCCAAAAGTTGAAAGACTGACTGGTCTCAAAGCCAATTTAATTGATTTATGGACCAGTCTGATTGCTGCTTTGATGCTTCTGCTCCTGCAAAAGGCAGAGGCAGGGTTTCCCTTTGTTTTCCACCTTTTGTTGAATTGCCTGGAAAGGCAAGGCTGCACAGATGTCATGGGTTGCTACTACATTGGAGAGCTGAATCACAACAATTTGATTTGCAGCCTGTATTATGTCTGAAATTGTAATCAGTGCTCACATAGGGGCTGTGGATTGAATCAGGAGTTCACCATTCATTTTTGTTTGCAATGAGAGTTGCGGTCCAATCCACAGCTTCCCCTTCCTTGTTTTTTCTTCTGGTCCTTCCTTTGGCAATCCCTTAATGGTTTGCAATGAAGCTGCTTTCTCATTTAAAGCTTCAGACTGTTATATTAGAAACAACAACTTTTTAATAGAAAAATAACATGAAAAGTAGTTAACATTCTAACAGTACAGAACATTAAATGTCGAAGAGTAATTTTACAAGATAAACCATAATTCACAAATCAGAATGATTCTATAAGAGGGATTATCACCGCCTTCCCT